CCTGGGTATGGAGAATTACCTCTACCGGGTACCTGAGCAACCTTGGCAGAGAAAAGAAAAATGAGGAAGGCAGTTACAGAGAAGGGCCCTAGGTACATTGGTCCTGTGGGAGAAGAGAATAAATGAAGGGTAGAGCACAGAAGGAAACTTCTATTTCCTTTAGCTCAGTCCCTTTAGGTTGTGGATGAAGAGAATGGGCTCCAAATCAGTTGGTCTTGCGTATGATCACAAAATAGATCAGTGGTTTGTACATGTCCACACACTGAGTTATATTTCTGCCCTTGGCATCTCCATCCTCTCAGGCCTCCAATGGAAAATCTACATGTCAGTTTGAATCCTTCTTTCCTTCCTTTCTACTCTGTGTTCAGTATAACTTTGGCAACCTGAAATTGGCCATAGTGGCGGTATTCACACCATGGGAATCAGCAAATGCTACAAATCAGGATTTTTTTTGTTTTTCCTGGAGAGCCAGTTGTTAAACATTTACTCAGCACAACACTGCTTTAAACCCTCTTTGCTCCTGCCCAGTAAAGGTTCTCTCATCTTTCTCTGTCTGTCCGCCTGTCTCTCTCTGTCTCTGTCTCTCTGTCATGCACACACATGTTGGCTCCCACTATTGTGCTGTGTTCCCACCTAGAAGGGTCCTGTCTCACTCTCAAATGACCCCCATGCTTCTGGGTTAAGTCCTACACTCCTATGATCTGCACCCATAGCGTATATTTCTGTATTGTTCTCCATCTACTGTGTTTTCATATCTACTTTCCAAATTTTATGAGGAAGCCCAGAACACTCTTCAGGCAGATACTAACCTGCCTCACCCCTCACTTCCTTCATGCTTTTGCTGGAATGTCACCTTCTCAATGAGGCCCTCCCTGACCATTCTCCTACTCCCAGAGTGGGAGGGATGCCTTCTGAGAGGGTGGCCGTGGTCTGGCTGATGGTGATGCTGGGAGTGTGGCCTGTCAGCACGGCGTGGCTAGGAATGCCACAAGCAAAAGCACTGCAAGGACACAAGTGGGGCTGTTAAACCAATGACCCCAGGGACTTCCTCTGGGTTGCCTGGCAATGAACAGGGAACAGCGCTGCTTCTCTCCCTGTGGGAGGATCAGCCAATGTTCCCAGGTGCTGGGAGGCTGGTGTTCCGAGCTGACACCCACACAGAACATGTTTTTCCTCCTTGTTCAAGTCTGCTCTCATGCTTTCTCCATGAAAGGGAACTGCATAGACAGTGGGTCCTCTTCTGGAGCACAGCCCCTCTGTGCATCAGGCTGCCCGCTTCCTGGGCACATGGCACTGAGGGCTGCAAGACACAAGCACTGCACGTCTGCTGACTTGTGCCCACAAGTCCCAGTAGACACAAGTGACACTGTGCCTGCTGACAACACAGAGAGAAGCCCAAAGTGAGAAGACCTCTTAGGAGGAGTTAATTGACCTCTAGAAGTGGTAGTCAGTGAAAAGGAGTGGATATAAGCTTTCATTAAGGACCTGGGATCTAACTTTTTAATCATTACTCTAATCACCTTGTGTCTCATCTTCTCAAATGCTCAAAAGCTACAAACCAATAGCTCTTTTTGTAATTTTCCATGTATCCACTTGTATGCCCCCTTTTTATTGTCCATCCTTTTCCCACTATCTCTCTTTCCATTTAACATCAACTATTTTCTAAGAAGCACTCTAAAAAAGTATCTTTCTTGTTTCCATACCAGGTGGTCAGTGTGGAAATATGTGGGGACCCTACCACCGCTGTGCTCCATGGATGTCCCAGTGGGACTCAGTCACGCTGGACCTGAGAGCTCGGCTCAGGTTTTGGGTGCCCTCATCTGAGTTGTGCAGCAGCACATGCAGAACGGTCCTCTGGCTCCATCGTTAGGAACCACAGTGCTCCATCTAACCTGTGGCTCAGGGGCAGACAAGTATTCCTTGTTGCCTGTATACTGCTATCCGAACTGGAATTGGATTGGGAAGAATGTAGTTCCTACCTCATTTCATTAATTACATTATAATGGTCACTGTGTGCCAAGCACTAATTTATTTACTCTGCATAATAAGTTTATGAGGTAGGTGCTATTATTGTACCATATTGTAGCTTAGGAGACCAAGGCACAGAGCGATTAAGTTATTTGCCCAGATGATACACCTAGTAAAATGGAAGGGTAGAGGGGAGGTGTGCAGATGAGACTACATCACAGGGAATCAGGTTCATGGTGTCAATAAGAAGGCAAATGAGACGATACGTGTAAAGACCTCAGAAGAGCACCAAACACAAAGGGAGCCTTCAATGAATGCGAGTTGTTGTTGTTTGCTGCTGTTATCATCATAATCATTGTTGTTTTATTATACAATGATACCAGTGGTCCAGCAGCCCAAAGAACTAAGAACTGTCTGTCTCTTTGGAGGTTTTGTTTGGTTCAATCTGGTTGTTACTCCAACTGCATATTGTTCCTTGTACTTTAGTCTTTAACTGAGAAACACCAGAAATATGGCCCTACTCAGTTTTTATTTTCAGGTGAGTTATGATATTCTAGGAGTGAGAGAAATAGGAATTGGATTTTAAGAAAGCGAGAAGACATTTGATTTAAAAAATTTGTTCTTATAATTTGTAACAGCAATGTTGAAGGCAGGTTGTTTTCATTTCTGGCACAGTGTGAGATAATGGAAATAAAAACACCGGTTTGGCCATCCATCAGACCCTACTTTACAGTATTATGTGACCTTGAGCAAATTATTTTCCCTTTTCATCCTCAGTCTCCTGGTCTGGAAAATGGAACCAGTCATGATAACCTACCTCAGAGGATAAATGTCAAGATTCAGTGGGGGATAATGTACTTGACATATAATAAACACCAAAAACTATGCCCTCTCTTCCCTTCATTTTCCCCTTATATATGTGTTTGGTTCATCTCTGGATGTATTTGTTATTTATTACTGTGTCACAAATTATCCCCAAACTTAGCAGCTTCAGGATCTAAGCTCGGCCAAGCTGGGTCCTCTGGATCTCTCACAAGGCTGCATTTAAGACGTGGCCAGGATGGCTGTCATCTCAAGGATCCATGTGGAATTGATTCCTTCCAAATCCATGCACATAGTTGTTGGCAGGATTCAGTTCCTCAGGGGCTGTTAGACTGAAGGCCTCAAGTCCTTGGTTGTTTCTTGTCATGTGGGCCTTCCAACAAGGCAGCTGGCTTCCTTCTTAGGGAATGAGCAAAGGAGAGAGATCAAGAGGGGCCAAAGACAGAAGCCACAACCTTTTGTGACTTAATCTCAAAAGTGACACACCATCCATTTTGACAAATTCTATTTGTTAGAAGCAAGTCACTAGATGCAGCACATGTTCAAGGAAAGGGATAACCCAAGGGTATGAACCCTCAGGGCAGGAATCACTGGGGGTCATCTGAGAGGATGCCTATCTACCACACCACATATATCACAACCTGCTTAAAACAAGGTGAAACTGTCTTCCTGATCCAGCGTCTTTAAAAAGGGAAGGCCAGGGCTAGCCCAGCGGCATAGTGGTTAAGTTCACACACTCTGTTTTGGCAGCCCGGGGTTCCCAGGTTTGATCTCTGGTGCGGACCTATGCACTGCTCATCAAGCCGTGTTGTGGCAGAGTCCCGCATATAAAATAGAGGAAGATGGGCATGCACAGATGTTAGCTCAGGGCTAATCTTCCTCAGCAAAAAGAGGAGGATCCTCAATGGATATTAGCTCAGAGCCAATCTTTCTCACACACACACACAAAAAATGAAGTGCATCTCTGTGTTTTCTAGGGAGCCTTGTCAAGTGCAGGTACAGGGTCATAGGCTCAGGCATCAGAAATTGCAGAAATGTTTGTTTAAATTTCTGACTGTTTCTAATATTTGCCTGTTTACTCTCTGATGCTGCTGTATGCCACTGGAAACTACATTTCCCAGACTTCCTTGCCCTCTGGTTTCCATTAGATTTGACTAATAGGAGACATTGGCAGAACATAGTGGGACCAGGGTATTTCGCCCCTTCCCTCTTTGCTTCTTGGGGTTTCTCCAGCATCCTTAGTATTCTTTGGCTCTAGTCCCATCAGATAGCCCTTCTCCTGGTGATCTCAGCTCCCACCTTACCAGCTTGTGCTGTTCCAGCTTCACTGGCAGTTCCAGCCCCAACTCCTAGAAGATGGTATCACCTCTTCTTCCTTTTGTTCCTTTAGCCCTTGGAGAGGTGGCAACTTCCTAATCCTGCTTATCTTTGGGTTATTCCTCATCCCTCTTCTGGTTTCTCAATTCTTTCATCATCTATTTATCTAATTACTTCTATTAAATTCCTTTTATATGAAGTCCCTGGACCAGTTTCTCTTTTTTTGCTGGCTGTACTAACACACTGACAAACAGTGGGACTGAACACAACTGATATACATTGGTATTTCCTGAGCAACTCCTGTGCAGAGCAGTGTTTGCAGCGTTCTCTAGTCCTAAATATCTGCCCTAGTCGTCATGCTGCTGGAAGTTCAGAGAGTGGTTGCTTCCTCAATATGTAGCGTCACCACTCTGGGCTCAAATTTCCTGTTTTATAAAATGGGAAGCTTTGTGACATCTGTGGTCTCTTAAATCCATGAATATTGGGGGCTCCAGAATTCCTCCATAGGCAAAGTTTAGGAACCACATTCTGGCTGGGAAGTGGGTGGGAGCACTTTATGAAACCGAAGAGTTGGGGGTGGGGGCATAGAGAAAGAAAAGAAAACAAACAAAACCTCAAAACCCTGAGTTGTCCACATCACAGAAGGGAAGTATCAGTGGTGGAGATCGTGGGGGAAGCTAACATGGATCACACCAGGACTCCATAAACTAAAAATATTGTCCTGCAAATTGCTCCCTGTTTCTTAGTCTATCCCCTGCTTTCTACCCCATCTCCAAATCAAAAAGAGTGCTTAGGAATAAAGTTTAAAAATATGAAAATAACATTTCACTGTACTCAGGATAACAATAATTGATAAAAGGTGGCGGAATTTGTCACTGGAATAATCTTACGAAGAGAAGAAACAGTATAAGTAAGCTCTCTTAGCTTCAGACCCTGAGCAAGTTACTTAACATCTTTGGGTGCAGTTGTGTGTTCTGGAAAATGCTGATAATAATAGTACAAAGGGTTATTACCAGGATTAAGTGAGTAAGTGTTTGTAAAGTGCTTACAACAGTGCCTGGCACATAGTATTTGCTCTATGGTAAACCTCATAAATATGTTGCAATAGTTTAAATCGTAAGTGACTATATTTATATTGTAACTGATATAAATTATACTGGCATATTATGGTTAATATAAGTCTGGAGAGTTCAGGTAAAAGCAACTGTGAGAAAAGGAAGATTGGTGGTCATACAGAAAAAGAAGTGTTTGTACAGTGGTGACTTGTTCAGTGTGTCTTTTCCACAGAGCAGAATGCAGTACACGAGTGTCCCCAGGCTGGAGGAGCTGATTGATTGGGAAGCTACCACATGATGAAACTATCCTTTATTAAAACTTTATGCTCAGAACATATCTTCTAATCTGTGTTTTGGTCTCCTGACCAGAAAGTAATCACACCTCTGATACTTATTTTTAATATCAAGTGTATCTTTTATTATAAATTAATTAATGACATGGCTTATAAACTCATATCATGTGATTTAGGTTTCTATAATCATACTACTAGCTTACATGTAAGGTTACTTACTATGTGTCAGTGTTATAAGCATTTCAAAAAAATTATCTCATCTTAACCTAGCAACACTCCTAATGAGTAGATAATAGTTGTGTCAGTTAGATTTTCCTAAATTATATAACAAACACCCTCCAAATCCTGGTGTAGGATAATAGCAAGTGTTATTTCAGGCTCACATTGCATTTCTTTGTGGATCAGCCATGGCTCTGTTCCACAGTTTCTTTGTGGATAGACTCAGGCTAAATGAACATAACATAAAAAGATCTTATTGCTCTTAATGATTCTGCTGGAAGGTGGGCACGTGTCACTTCTACTTATATTTTATTGACCAAAGCAACTCACATGGTGATGACTTTTGTCAACATGATGGGGAAGTGTACTCCTCACATAGGGAGGTATATTATAAATATATATCAATGGGCAGTGATGTATAATCCTCCCATGAGTAGCAGGAAACAATAGGAGTAATAGTACAATCTATCATACTATTCTCATCCAAATTTTAGACACAAGAAAATCGAGAAATAGAGTTTAGTAAATTTCTTAAAGTCACCAACCTAGTAAGTGATAGGATTGGGGTATGAAATGGAGTAGTCTTTCTCCAAAGTTGTGATAGCCGGACTCCAAGATGGCCCCAGTAATTCTTACCTCCTGGTTTGCACACACTTGTGTAGTTCCCTCCCATACTGGACAGGACTGAACTATGTAACTAATAGAATATTGTGACCTCTGAAGTTAGGTCACAAAAGATATTGTGACTTCTGTTTTGCTCTTTGTTGGGTCACTCACTCTTGGGGAAGCCAGCTGCTATCTAGTGAGCCGTTGAGCTGCCCTATGGAGAAGTACATAAGCCAAGGAACTAAGGCCTTCTCCCTATAGCTAACACTGACTTTTCATCCACGTAAGCCATATGAGCCGTCTGGGAATAGGATCTTCCAGCCCTAGTCAAGTCTTCAGATGACTGCAGCCCCAGCTAACATCTTGACTCCAATCTCACTAGAAATCCAGAGTCAAAATCACCTAGTTAAGTCACCCTTAAATTCCTGACTCATGGAAGCTGTGTGAGATAATAAATGTTTATTATTACTGTAAGCAACTAAATGTTGGGATAATTTGTTATGCAGCGATAGATAACTATACAAGAGTCTCTGTGTTTAACCATTATGCCAAACTGACATCGTGTATGAATTAACAATCTTGTGTAAATGGATAGACCTTACGTTTACAAACCAGTAAATGCTTATAATTTAGGGGGAGTGGAGAGGGAAAAGTATAAGGGATGCTGAGAAAATAACTATAGAAGTATGTTAGACCAAGAGAGAAAGGGAAGAACCGAGAAAAGATACACAAGAAGGCCAAATGCAATCTGTTCCTGTTCATTGAACCATCACTTCTAAAGCTACCTGCAACATGTTTGAATAAATATATGCTGAAGAGATTGATTAGGAAAATGATCATGAATTCAATATTAAGGTTAATGGAAAGATAGTTAATATCTCTGAAGCCATTGTTTCTCACAGGGCTCTCTTTCCAGACTGATGGAAGTATTTTCTAGACTCTTGCCAGGATTAAAGGATCTGTGTTTTGACTCTTAAGAGTGTATATATAGGGGCCAGCCCTGTGGCCGAGTGGTAAAATTTCCACGTGCTCTGCTTTGGTGGTCCGGGTTCGTGGGTTTGGATCCTGGGTGTGGACCTACTCCACTCATCAGCGATGCTGTGGAGGCATCCCACATACAAAAATAGAGGACGACTGGCATAGATGTTAACTCAGGGCTAATCTTCCTCAAGCTCGGGGTGAATCTTCCTCACAAAAAAAAAAAAAAAAAAAAAGGAGTATATATGTAGACACTTACGTTTTATATTCTTAAACCCTTCTAGGCCAAGAAGGGACATCCCAATCCTCCATCTCATCTCCAGATCCAAACTACTCTCCACTTGAACTTTTTGCAAAGAATGTTCTTGCCTCCAGATTCCAAAGGATTCCCTTCCTGGCAACCCAGAGGGCAAGTCACTAACCTCTCTCAGGATTTCATCTTGAAATAGTAATGGGTTCTTGGGGTTTCCATATGCTTCAACATCCAAATTAAGTTTAGATTTATTATATTTACTCTCTTCATATTTCTCATTTTTGTTTTACTGATTTATTTAGCCTGAGGCCAATGCAGAACAATTTACCTCTGAGTTTAGAGCTTAAAATATATGTATGCACATATATATACATACACCATGTAAAATATATAAGATGTAGAAATATACACTTTCCAAGGTATAAAAATAAAGAGTTTAAGATCACCTCTTAAACTTAAGCCTACAACACACTGTTCCTTCAATCTGCTGATTGAGACCCACTATTTATGAAATCAGTTTAGCTGGTTGTGATCAGCTTTATTGAAATTAAGAGAAGAGAAGGGAAGAGAAGAGAAGAGAAGAGAAGAGAAGAGAAGAGAAGAGAAGAGAAGAGAAAGAGAAGATAGCAGAGCAAGTTACATTTAAAAGAGATATCTATTACTTCCTTAAAGTTTTGTTTCAGTTAGGGCATCATGCATGAGTGTATGTGAGAGTGAGTATATGATGTAAAATACATTTCTTAATGTAGGTTATAGTCAAAAAGATTTCTTAAGAAAATAACTGGTCAGCTAATAAACATGAAAATAAACTGAAACTATTGTTGAGGTTACAAAATACCCTCAAACTTAGTTGCTTAAAACAACAACCATTTGGTCATGCCTACAGATTCTGTGGGTCAGGAATTCAGAAAGAGCAGAGTGTAGTTGGCTTGTCCCCATGCCATGATGTTTGAGACTTCAGCTGAAAAGACTTGACCACTGGAAGCTGGAATCAGCTGGAGACTCCTTCTCTGACATTTCTGTTCCTTGAACAAAGGTCCTTTGAACCTTTGATGGTTCAAAGACTAGGACAGCTAACCACAGTGCCAAACATGGTCTCCACATGCAGCTTTCTCACAGCATGGTGGCCTCAGAATCACCAAAATTTTTATGAGATAGATAGCTCAGCATTCAAAGGCTGAGAGTTCCAGCAAATAAGGCAGAAGACGCATTGTTTTTTAGGACCTGGACTTGGAAGCCACACAGCTTCACTTCCTCCACGCTCTATTGTTGCAAGCTGTCATAAGCTCACTCAGATTCAAAGGGATATGAATTAGACTGGATGGGGGAGCAAACAAGACACATGGGAGAAGGGAATGTGCGTCAGGAGAAATTGTTGCGATCATCTTTGGAAAATTAAATTTGCTACATAATGCAACCACGAGAAAGTCCATGAGCAATAGACTAGATAAGTAAATACATTGGACTATGTTTATAAATTAAATATTAAACGGCAACGCAAATCAACAAACTAGAGTTCTCTGCACCAATACAATACAGAGGTATGGATCTTGTAAATGTGGAAACAAGCAAGACACAAAAGAATAAATGCACTATGATTTTGCGTATATACACTTCAAAAACAGGAAAAACTAAACCATATTGTTCATGGATACATATATAAATGATTAATCTATAAGTAAAAAAACAAGGAAATAATTTCAATGAAAGTCCAGATAAAGAGCAAAGAAGGGCACAGAGAGTACCTGAATGACTGGGAAACTCAGTACACCTTTCTTTTTTCAAATAAACTGTATTATATTTTTAGAAGAAACATGTTGTTTGTTAATAATAAAGTAATCAATACTTACAGTAGTAACAGAAAACACATAAAAGTTTGGAAACAAGAATAAAAATCATCTATATTTCCACCACTATGAAGAACTTATGTCACATTTAGGTGTATTTTTCCCTTCTACGAAAAGTGTTATAACATTGTGGGATACAAAGAGAAACTTATTTTTTTTAGAAAACTTTTTTATTTTGAACTAATTATAGATTTATGAAAGTTGCAATAATAGTACAAAAAGTTCCCTTATAAAGTTCCCTCAACTGGCTTCCCCCAATGTTAATGTCTTACATAACCATTATACAATTATAAAGAACAAGAAATGGACATTGGTACAATATTATTAACTAAACTTTAAACTTTATTCAAATTTTACAAATTTTTCCACCAATGTCTTTTTTCTAGTCCAGGATCTTATTCAGGATCCCACATTGCATTTACTTATTTTTTCTCCTTAATCTCTTCCAGTCTATAATAGTTCTTTAGTCTGTCCTGGTCTTTCATGACCTTCACACTTTTGAAAAGTACTGATCAGTTAAACAATATTCCTCCATTTGAATTTGTCTGATGTTTTCTCACTGTTGGAATGAGTTTATGTATTTTTGCCAGAAAATATGACAAAAATGATGAAGTGTCCTTTTAAGTGCAAGGAGTTCATGACGTTATATCTCATTACTTGTGATGTTACCTTGCTCACTTAGTTAAGGAGGGGTCTGCTGGGTTTCTCCACTGTAAAGTTATTACCTTTCCCTTTGTAGTTGATAGATATCTTGGGGAGGATACCTTGAGACTATGTGAATCCTGCTTCTCCTTAAAATTTCACCCAATAATTTTAGCATCCATCTATGAATTTTATCTGCAATAAGAAAGAGTTGTCCTTTCTCCTTATGTATTTATTTATGGATATATATTTTATTCTATGAATTAAATGCTGTATTATCAGTTTTTTTTATTTTGTTGCCAAATGGTTCCAGCTTTGGCTACTGGTAGCTCCTTGAGACTGGGTTGCATGTTTTTTCAACGTTTCCATCTTTTTTTAAATGTTTTATTTTCTGGCACCACAAGATGTTCCAGGCCCATCTGATATTTTCCCTGCTCCAGCCTTGGAATCAACTACCTCTCCAAGGAGCCCTAGTTCCTTTTATTGGAGAATGATGCTTAAAAAACAAAGATTGTGTGTGGGGTGTGCTAATTG